GAGTATGAGTACACACACATTTTACAGTATCGGCCCCGATACCCGATACCAGTATTGGTATCGGTGCATCCCTACTCAATACAGTCTGAACTCTCTGAAGCACCTTTTGTTCCAGTCTCTGTCAGTGGGATTCATAGTTTTATAATGTTGAGGTCCAGACTGTGGGGAGGCTGGATGATGTCACAGTACTTTGCTCATAATTCCATTAATACTGACGAGATCAATGACATTAGTGACGTCAGCCCCAAACTATGGCAGAGCATCCACTGTGTTTTACAGATGACTGTCAACACCCACCCTTGGGCCTTTATCTTACCCCCTGCTACAGATTGATGATACTTTGAACCAACAATTTAACAATGTTTCATTCTGAATCAAATTTTTAGTTTTATAAATGTGAAACTGTTTTATATTTGGCATTTTAAATTCAACTAAAAAATTAGAAGCAAATGATGTTCCCCCCCAACAGACTGCTGGTAGCAAAGATACATTTTAAAACTGGTTTTTTGCTAAACTGTCTTATGTGTAGACACAGCACTGGTTTATACATATGTGGGTATCTCTGGATCACTTCCAGTACAACTGCTATTTTAGATGGCTCAGAGTTCCACTGAGACCACTTTTATGTGATCTCAAATTTGTGGAAGAAGCAAATCTTCTAATAAACTGAGCATTATCACAGGAGATTCATTCACTGCAAACAACCTCTTGCATGCTGTTGTGTGCACATCCATGGGACCAACACAGCCTTTGCTTACCACCCCATCGTACTCCATTCATGTTCATCCCCGTCCCCAAACAAAGTTCAAGTTAAAGTGTTGTCATCATTGTGACACACTGAATAATATACTGTTCACATCAGTTTCATAAGCAGAAGGAAAGTGGAGTGCTCTTAAAATAGCAGCAGAACTTGATGGTTAAGGTAAATCCATTATACAATAGACTCAAATGTACTTATTTGGCTTCCTGGAGCATCAAACTGCTACCAGCAAAGCTTGTGATGTTTGTAGTTTTTATGTGTGGCTGGCGAGACAGAAGACTTCCTTCAACTGAATGCTATAATGTGTACTTGAATTAAGGTTTCCAAATTAAGCCACAAAAGAAAAGAAACCTGTCTGTAAATCAGAGGGATCCCATGTCTGCTTTACAGAATCATTCTCACAACTTTCATGTGAACAATTGATTATTTCTACCAACACCTATTAGTTTATTAAAAGCACATAACAAAGCAACACCTGGTAAAGTCTCCTTTCTTTATGAACCATTTGAAAACTAGTTTGTTTACAAACAGCTCATGAAATTAATAATATCCAAACCTGCCCTCACAATTCTGAATACTCTCGCTGATACTAATATAGTTTAGCTCTCGTGTGTCAGTCAGGACTGTCAGGACTTTTTACCCCACATCTTAAATTTCTCAAAGATCCTAAATCCCAAAAGGTTGATTCTGTTCATCTGGATGTAGCGTAATCACATAATTACGCTACATCCAGATGGATTTACTTACCTGGACGACTGATCGAGACCTCCTTGGCCTAAAGTTTATAGGTCATGATTGTGGGCCAAGAAGCAAGCAAAGCAGCGTAAACAGGACTGTGTCTGAACATGACAACAGCTTTGGTCGTCTTTAACTGTTAGACCAACTAGAACTCATTGTTTTAAAGGAACGCCACCCAGTGGGACGGTGCTCTGTTTTAGGTTCTGTAAAAACGGGAGAAAGGGGCTAGATCACTGTTAGTAGCTGTTTATCATCCTTTTGTAGGACAATAGTAGTAACAATTAAAAAAAAAAAAGACCAGTGTTACCCTTTAAACAACCAACTAAGCTTCTCTTTCCCTCAGTCTACTCAGGCACTCAGTTCCAGTTATTCACTTGGCTTTCCACAGCATCACAGTAACACTTGATGTGCAATACACTGAAACCTGAAAAAATACAATGATTAGAAAAAATGACTGAATTATTAATTTCTCTCTTCCTCGTAGTCCTTTCACCAGAGGATGAGGCAAGGATGGAGTCTCCATGGATACTCCATCGTGTCCTGTGCATCCGTCAGTGTCAAACATATATTCAAACCAGGTCCATGGGTCAGTTTTGCTAATTGGAGCACAAACGTTCCAGGCTAACTGAAAACAGAAGAATTACCACAGCAGAACCGTACCATTGTGAAGGTGCCATGCAGGGATAGAACAAAAATGTGTTAATGATACAACAGTCATGTCAGTGGAGTGAATACAGTTTTGAATTTAATCAGCAGCCATGTTTGACTCGGACTGATGAGCCTTTAATCCAAAAATGTGTAAAATGCAATAATTTGCACATATTATAAAGCCATATTTTATTCACAACAGAAAATATCATGTTTACACCAACAAATTAAAAATGTGCAAGAACTTCAGGCGTCATATAGCTGGATCCACATATTAAACACTTTTGATGATGGCGTTGCCAATTCCATAAGCACTAATGCATCCCATAGCATCAGATATGCAGACTTTTGAACTGAGCACAGGTAACAAAGCAAGATGTTCCTTCTTTAGATCGTTCGTGGAAAACATGTCTGGACTAAAGAGGGACTCATGTTCCAAAAACAAGGACCACAGTAACTCAAAGCCCCCTCACCACACTCGGATCTAATTCTGGGAACAGTTTAAAGATGTGCACCTGATGACCTGAGAGGTCTGACACTGTAGTGGAGAGGGGACAAAGCAGGGAAAAGCATTGGGACCTGAATAAAGTAATAGAAGGATTTTAAAGATAACTCCTTTTTGATTACTTGTAAAATGATAATAATTAGTATGTATTAGTAAAACGTTCCTCTTTTTAGTACCACTTACAGTTTCCAGTCTTTTATTGCCACCGTCTTAACTTTTTCATAAAGTAATATTTTATTAAAGGGGTACAGTCTTATTGTAAACATTTGCTTCTCTTTCTGTTTTCTGTTGTGAATAAATTATAGCTTTGCAGATCGCTGCACTTCTGTTTTTATATACAGTTTGTATTGAGGTTGTATTCTAAATGACCAATCTTTCCTGATGATAAACACAACAGCAAACCAGTTTCAGTTGTGAAATACAGCTGCAAATTCTTACCCGAGCCCAGATTTGGTCAGGTGAGGAAATGGACAAAAATGATTGCTAGACCTACATTCAACAGCATCACAAGAACCACCAAGATCGAGTTAGGGCCCTGTGGAGACACACAAGAAAGCTCTTTAAGTTATTTCATTTATTTTGCAACATTATGATTACTGACGCTATCAAAGTCAACAAGACAAGCAGTGGGCCCCACTGACAGCATACAGTATGTAGTGGAAACTAGTAAAGATATCTTCTTGAATTCAGTTCAGTGGAGATCAGAATACTTTATTAATCCCTCAGGAAATTGTGTGGATTACAGCTGCCCAAAGAAAGTAACAGACTAAACTATTTAAATAATACAATATGTTACAGAGTTTACCACTTTAAGAGCTGGCACAAATCGCTCAATTATATATATATATATATGAAGAGTATTACAGAGGTGAAATATATATGATTGACATTTAATTCTAACCTGTGAACTTTTTACTGTAGAGCAACAGTGTGTAACTATTGCAGTGTTTACAGTGTATTACATGGAGGAGTTGTACAGGGAGATGGCCACAGAAAATAGTAGTTGTCCAAGACAGCTGTCTAGTTCAGAGTTCCCACTTTCTTCTTCTGCAGAAGGTCTTTGGTAACATTTGTTTGTCATCTTCTTATAATCCTTTTGTTGCTTAGCATTTTGATACAGCCACACACTTTACAGTATCACCTTTTGCTCTTGTAGAGACTCATATCACCCTGTGTGTGTGTGTCGTTCTTTTCTTTTTTGCTCGTTTGCATACAACCTTTATTATACCATTTATGAATTTTGTTAAGAAATCTGAACTGCAAATAATTTTTATTTAAATTTTGCAAGACAAATACTTGTCAAACAGGCCACCACCTACTGAAGCCAACAGAACCACATCATCTGCAAACAGCAGACGTGAGCTTCTGAAGCCACCAAACTGGAAGCCTTCAGGCACGAGGCTATGCCTAAAATGTCTGTTCATAAAAATAATGAGCAGGATTGGTGACTGAGTCCAACACTGACTGCTGGCAGTGTACAACTGTAGCTCTTGCAACAGTCCTCAATCTGAGATTTGATTAACGGATAAAGTTTCCAGTACCCTGGTACAGTCCATCTTCCCAGGGAAGCTGAGTAGTGTGATCCCCCTATAACCTTCCAGAAACTCTTCTTAAAGATGGGAACCACCACCCCAGTCTACCAATCCAGAAGCACCTTGCCAGATCTTCAAGACAGACCTAGAACAACAAGAGCCTTAAGGAAGTCAGAGCGACTCATCCACCCCAGAGGCCCTGCTGCTACCAAGTAGTTGTTTAACTACTTTGTTGATCTTGCCCCTGGTGACAGGCAAATCGTGCCCCTCATCCACACACTCTGTGTCCTCTACAGAAGTAGGTCCTCAAAGTATTCTTCCTGCTGTCCGACTATATCCACAGTTGAAGTCAGCAGCACCCCACCCCCACTAAACCCTGTGTGAGAGAGCACTGCTCGGTCTGAAGGCCACATCCGGCCCGCGATATAATTTCATGTGTCAATATTAATGGCCTGTCGGTATGTGCCAGCTGCTGAGAATCCATGTAGGAAGGACTTTATTTTGATGGGCACACCATGCAGCAAATCACAAGACTGACTGTAATCATACTGTTATGTGAAAGAAGGGAGGGGGTGACGCTTTCAAGACAGCTAGTGTAGTGATACAGGCTAGCTACAGAAAGAGACGAGCAGGAATTAAATGCAATCGCGTAGGGAAAACGTGAAGAAACAAGCAGAAATGATATTAGAGACTGCAAAGCTGGGTGTCGAATCCATAAAATTAGGAGCTGCCTAAAGTGATACCCATATTTATTTGCAACCATTTTCCAGGTTTCATCATTGTCCAGGCCTTAAACCTCATGTGTGTTCTCCCCGGTAGGAGTAAATTCATTAAAAAATGAAAACACTGTATAAAAAAATGCTTCCTTGAAAAAGTCCAAATTTACAGTTCATTATTGAATATTACATCAAATATACAAAGCGTCTGCAGAAATGTCTGCATGTACCAGAGAGCCACGGCTCAGTGTCTGAGTGTCTAAATGAGTCTCACAGGCCTGGATGTGTGTTTGAAACCATTTATAATTGTTAACTTGTTTGATCTGCTGCTCACCGCAAACAAGTACAACCAGTAACTTTGGACTTTTAACTGGATTTTCACAAGTTTTACAGCATTTCCTATGGATAAGAACCTGCCGTATAGCTGTTCATACTACACAAGGTAATAAAGCAATAAACAATGAAATGATAGAAAATATGTTTTTCACTTTCTTCCATAGAAATAGGCTTTTTTACAAATACAATTAAAAAACATCTTCATCATTAAACTTGCTTGCAACTTCATGCATGTCTTCCTCTTGTAAAAACAGCCGAATTTCATCTCTGAGCTCAAAGATTCATTATTATCAGGAAGTCCTAAAAACTCCCTGAAAAGCCTTCAAATAATCCAAAATGCTGCAGCAAGAGTCCTGACAGGGGCTAGAGAGACAGAGCAGATTTCTCCTGTATTGGCTTCCTTTTATTGGCTTCCTGTTAAATCCAGACTCAAATTTAAAATCCATCTCATCGCACACAACATCTGGAATAATCAGATCCCACTGAAGGCTGACATGTGGGCCTCACTGCTAAACATGTCTGTCTGTGTGTGTGTGCTAGGGAATGTAAATGTATAGCATTGTTATATCATTAATATCAAAATATGGCACTTTTATATGAGGTAAAAATGTAATGTGGTATTATCGTGGGCACCATGATATGGCCACAGCCCTAATTCTGGACATATATCCATATTCCGATTATAGTTATTGTAACATTGGTGGGAAATTCTAGAAAGTATAAGTCAATCTGAACACGCACACTCACTGTGCGTTCGATTCTCCCTGATTGTTAGAATACTATGTTATAAAAATATGTGTGGCAACTCAACTCACCGATTTGTCCTCTAAAATTTCAGGATCAATTTCCATACTGGCTTTCTTGGTTTCTGCAAGGTTCCTTGATTTGCTTGATTCCTTTTTTTGTGATTCCTTGGGAGGCTCTTGTGCTTTGGTGCCATCTTTTGCTGGAACTTGTGAAGGCTTTTGGGCTGGCAGGGGTTTTGGTGCTGGTGGTTGAATTTGTTTGACAGGTGATGGCAGCAAGTGTACAAGGTCAGATGGGTGAAGATCACCCACTACACCAATTGGTTCTTCAGGGGGTTGAATCTTAAGAGTTGCTTTAACATGGTAACCAGGGTACTGGGAGTGAATCTGTCCATTGCTTGAGTTACTGCTGACTGTTGTGGTAACAGACTGTTTGACTGCTGGAGAAGCCTCTTGTTGCCTTACTTGCTGTCTCAGAGGAAGTTTTGACGCTGCTTTTGTTATGCCTGTACAATAAAAAAAAAAAGACAGGAGTAATGGAGACCACAGTTGGTCTGACTAATGCGTATACAATATACTGGTTCAGGCAACTTGAGCTCTGGAGGTAGAATTTCAAGTTTTCAGTCAAGCTTCACATCTCAGTTCAGCTTCACAGTATCTGCGGGATGCTGTTAATTTTCAGCAAGACAATAAGCAAAAAGACCCTCCAGCTTCCTAATTGGCAAACCATGAGTCTCTATAACCTAATCCAACCTAAACCCGCCAAACACAGATGGTTCAGGATGAGATGAACTACAGAGTCAAAGAAAAAATAACAGCTTTCAGGAGAACTTCCTCCAGACTTTTGGGAAACCTCCTGTTGCGGTAAATATGTAGAAATTAGCTGTATTACTACTACAGCTAATATCTGATAGACAAAAATTCAATAAAGTTGCTTACCTGCTGTCAAAGCCTCCGCTGCTGCATCAGAGGCAAGAGTTTTACTGCTGTAAAAAGCCTTTTTAGCAGCAGTAGGTGAAGGACTAGGGCTGGGACCTGGGCTTGCAGATGGAGACTGGTTTGGTGTTGTGCCTTTCCTGTAGAAATGTGGGCTCCCCGGAGGAGATTTCTCTTTTGTCTCCTCTCTGGGCTTCTCCGTTACATCTTGCGAGTCACCGTACTTCTGCAGTGTGTAGTCGGGTCCTTGAAACACACACACACACACACACACACACACAAAGACTTTTTGTTCTCTACACTTAGTTTGAAAGACGTGTCAGATCGGACACAGCTGCCTTAAAAAAAACCCTAAAAAAACAAAAAATAATTACAGTTGGAACAGTTACAAATTTGGACACCATGTATTAACACCACTGTGGTCTGTGGCTCCGCTGCAGAAGAGGGGTGGCACAGTGGGCTCAGGGCACAGTGGGCTCAGAGCACAGTGCCAGAGAGGCTGGCAGTGCAGCTGGGGCCAGTCTGCAAATCAGGCTCTTCCTTTTTACTGACGCAGGGACCTGGCAGAGGGTTGTTGTTGCCAAGCTGAGACATGTCAGCTGGAAAGCTGCCACAACAAAACTCAAAGAAGTCTTTAAATAAATGGTCACTTACCTGAAAACACTGTTTACTGGGTCTGTCTATCACAGTTGTCCCGAAAACGCAGGACGCATGTCAGATCTATAGCCTGTACAGCTGGCCCAGCTGCTGGGTCAGATGGCGGCAGAGCTCACAGCCGTGCACAAACAGTACATGGTGGTGCATAAGGGGAAACTGAAGACACTCCTGGCCACAGCAGAGGGGTGTCAGTGGCCTATGGACGAGTGGTTGCTGCTGCTATCGAGGGAGGCTTAGATGGTGGTCCTGAGCTTGCTGCCGGCATTGCGGTGCTTTCCCAACATCTGCCGGGCCATGCTGGACCGCTGGCAATTCTGGAAAAGTGCAATGTCGGCAGAGGATTGGCCCTTCACTCAGCAGTTCATGGGCCCAGCGGTTCTCTGATGTGGTGGCTGCAGCCCGGGGCATCAGAGGGGGAAGCGTGGCAGTTTGAGCTGGTGGACCTTGAACAATTCCCTGGTTTCCCTGGGGAGACAGCGCAATGGGTCCACTGCCCTCGACCAGCCGAGCCATGGTTGGATGAGACTGAGAGACGCAGCCACCTAGCGAGTGGGATGAGGCCAGTCTCAGCTCCGAGATGCTGGTTTCCCTTCTGTGCTGCAATCACATCTCCCTGTTCTGCCTTCCCAGGCACTGCACCAGGACCCACATGAGCTTTGGGCGGGAGTGTTGGAGGTGCAGGTGATAAGGACAAATCTGCTGGGAATGCCTATGGATGGAGGTCAGACAGGTGATCCATGTTGCAGGCCCTCCAACACCCTCTACCCATCTGAGAGGGACGTACAGCGCACCGGTAAGTTACCAAGGGGGTATACACAAGGCTATATGGTGGACTTGGGCTGCATCCAGAACCTGGTCCCCCAAACTCTGATCTAACCCAGGGTTGGAGTCA